GCAATTCCATATTTAACACTGTGTGACTTGTCAAAAGAGCCTGTTAGCCTGAAATCCACTAATCCCTGTCCTCCACAACAAGAAACCCTAGTTTAACAAATCGCAAATGTAAAAACAGAGGGAAAACGAGAAACTCACGTTCCGCCGACGCCTCCAGTGGTTTCGGAAGCGACGGTGGAGAAAGGGAGCTCGCAGATAGCAACAGAAGCACCGTTATTCGCGGCGAAGCGAGCGGCTCGGACGCCGCCGCTTCCTGCGCCGATGGTGAAGAGGTCAAAGTCGTAGTGGACGGCGACAGCATCAGCTCCGTTTTGAGATTGGGCGCGCACGGCGAAGGTGCAGCGGCGCGTGAAAATTGGAATTAGGGATTTGGAGAAAGGGCGGCGGAGTAAAGAAGAGCGAGGAAATGGAAGCGTTTTGTTGAAGAAGAGAGTGTTGAGAGAGAGCGATGGCGAAAAAGAGAGCGAAGTTGCCATTGCTTTTGTATTTCTGTTTTTTTCACTTCTCTCTTTGTGGACTCCTTTTGCTTGCTAATGCAAATTTACTTGTCGCAATATTGCTTTATACTCCTTTTCACTTCTAAAATAGAAAACCCTAATTATGTAATTTTAGAATCATCAAATATATTCCATAAAATAATATACGTATATGCCAATACAAAAGATTCAAACAAGAAAATAAGAAGATAGTATTTCTTTTTTCTTCCAAACAAATATCATATTTAAAATACTATATTATAATTTAATTTATAAGTAGTAAGAATTATTTTTAAGAAAATATTTTAAAAAAATGTCATATGTATAAGGGTTAATAAGTGTATTAAACTTTAGCTTTCTTTAAAAACATGAAATAGATTAAAAATAAAGTGATTATTTTTAATTAAAAATCAATAAAATAAAATAAGTGTCCTAAATATTCAAAGTGTTTCAATTGCCTATCAATCAACTAATGCAATCAGCCTATAAATAAAATATTTCGAATAAAAAATGTTAATGTACTAATAAGTCATCTGTTAAATAAAGACATGAAATTGAATGAACTCTAAATTAAAATAACAATAATAATGAACTACACCATCAAAGTAAAAAATAAGAGAAATAGCACAATTTATGTGAAAAACATTCATTTATACAGAACATAAATGTCTGGTCCTTATTATATAAGTTTGTTTTTTATATTTTAAACTTTTTTTATATATTTAATGTATTTAAATTTATATTATTTTGATTTTTTAAAATAGTTATAATTTTAGATTATAGGATAGTGAAGTTCATATCAAAATAAAAATCTGCAATGTTGATACAACTGTGTAGCACTTGAGGAAGGAGAATAATATTTCATATCAAAGAACCACTTTATTCCATTTCTAAGACAAAAAAGTTTTCAACACTAAGAGTGTAACATCCCAATATCTCACACTGGATAATTCATAATTTATATATTGTAACATTACATTTACGGTAATATCCCGTAATCTCACACTTATAAATTCATAGTTAATATATGTCTACACATGTTTTAAACTCAAATTTCAACTATAAACTCATAAATATAATTCGAATTCTTCTAACTTATTCTTCTGTCTCTCTCTTCATTGGCACTGGATCAGACGACATTCCTTCATCTGCTCCCGTATAACGAATTATACGATCATCGCACATACCCAAACAAAACAAACACAAACAAGTAGGGTGAGCTAACATGCAACAAATCATTTATAAAACATGTATAATTACCTTGATATAAACATCATATAATAATTATGTTCGACACCCTCATACCACAATTCCTATTAGACACTCGTCTCACAATACCCAATAGACACCACAATACCTAATAGACACTCATCTCACAATACCCAATAGACACCACAATACCCAATAGACACTCATCCGGATGATACGTTGATGAGCGGTCACGGGAGGTTATGCACTTGTAATGACTTCTACTTCTTTTTACAAATACACTTTCAAAATACTTCATACCATTCACAAGGTTAATCCCCTCACTATGTCCAAAACCGGCACATAGATCAGAACCTCCTGCTCCTCTCACCACATAATTCATCCCTCTCTACTTGAGACTAGATGATTATTAGAGTATCAGGATAACCTCCAACTATGGGACCCTCAACATCAACATATACACAAATACCATAATATTACTGAATCTCTCCACGAGACTCATGCCATACTCATTTTCCTCAACTCACATTATACCCCTACAAAATCTCCCCATAATACTCATAACATGTTCAGATGCATAAATTTAAATGCAATATAATAAAATACAATCATCGCATAAATCACACAAACTCAATATATTGCATAATAATTTAACAGTACTCAATCTGTTCAATAGGATTTAAGTTAAAAACTTGTCGAGTAGACTTCCAAGAAAGAGAGGTGCGTCACAATGGACAACTTAAGTACCAAGTCTTTCCTTAGCCAAAGTGTTCCTCAACTAGTTTTTAACAAATTTCTTATTTACAGATTCAAAACAACAGCATATAATATTTATACCGAATTTCAACATAGATAAACATACAGTAAACATTAACAATATTCACACAGAATTTCAATATATGAATAGTAATAAAATAATACTAAATCATAATATAAAAGCATAGAACTATTAAATCATAAAAAAAACATAGAAAGGTTAGCTCCCCTACCTCTATTCCAGACTTAATCTCCTGCTCCGAATTTGTTTCCCCGAAACCCTTCAGAACCTCTACTCTTCTTGCAACTAAAAATTTCTCCCTAACTCTTTCTTCTCTATTTCTCAAGCTCTCACTTGATTTCTCTTCTCTTGGTGCAGAATAACCTTCCCTCCCATGGCTATTTATAGTAAAAAAAAATTTACTATTATAAATATTTTTCATGGGTCTTACAAAGAGCATTAACATTTTTTTAATTTTTCTACTCCTACAGCTTCTCCCTCGACGACGTTGGTTGTTGCAACGAAGTTCCTATTTGTAGAGCCTAAATTGTCTCCTTTGCAATAGAGAAGTTAACCCAAGACCAGGAACTTTTTCTTCTTGTTCAGATCTACCCATCTTAAGATTTTCTACTCAAACTTAAACCTTGTTTATTTCGAACATACCCATAATCAAAATATGGATATTATACTTTAACAATATTCTTTTTTACAACATTTTAACATCGTATACATATCATTTTATGATTAATTGATCCACATTAATATTTATAATTATTATTATTAATTATAAAATAATTTTGTACCAATCATACATAAATAATATTAAAATATTATAAAAAAATTTTGTCTAAAAGTATCACTATCCAAATAATATCAAGGTTGATTATTTAGACTGATAAAACCACTTTGGTAAAAACATAACTAAAATGGGCAGATAAATAACTTCTGCAATTTAGATGATGGATCAGATACGCTATTTAATGTTGCCAAAGCTAGATAAACCTATCGTAGTTGTATAATTTTATTTTAAATTATTACAATTAACCAGATCTGCACTCTATGGTCGAAAGAAATATAAGTAATAGGTGTAGTTATTGCAATTTGGTTCTTGGTTAATTGCGATTTGGAAAATTAATTGAAAACATTGGTTCTAGCATTTCTTAAATTGATTCTTTAAGCGCCACAAATGCTTCTTCTTCTACTCGTCCACTTTACACTTCCACCGTGGAGTAGCTGTTCATGTTATTTAGTGTGTGAAGAATTGAACAGACAACAGAAAGAAGTAGGAGTGGTGAAGATTGTGTTGAAGTTGAAAGAAAGAAGAAGAAATTAAGCACACAAGTTTGTTTTAACACAACAGAAGATGAATCCAGAATTTAAAGGGACAATCCCGACTCTTCATCCTCTTCAAGAGTTGAAGTGTAGACAAAGAAGAGAGCCCATACAAGAGCAAAGACACCCAACAGGATCCAACCAAGAAGGTTGTTGCTAAGCCCAAAGGGAAGCCCGGTTCCTTCAGTGCTTAGTCTCTCATCCACCAAGGCCATGGCTGGGCCAGACATGACTGCAGCACAGGTGGCTGCCATCAAAGATGCTCCCATCACCATGCTTGAGCTGCTTGCTTCCTTTACAGAAGGTTTTTCCTCCATGGAGCACCTCACTCTTCCCACCTTACCCATTGTTGGCAATCCTACATAAAATAATTTAATGCTTAAGAAAAGGGTTGCTGCATCAGAAATCATTATTCTAAACCAAACAATCAATTGAAACATGTATCTTAAAATTCTCATCCATCCAGATAAGATAACCAAAACTCTCAAGCTTTACTTATTTACTTTCTGGTTGCATGGCATGTTGAAGAAATCAGACATGAAAGAGCTTAAAGTCGTTATTTACAATGGCAAATTAGGATGAGAAAAGACAAACCAAGAACAGAAGATGAGACCCCAAGAGGCCGCTTTTGCACAAGACATGTGATCGAGGGGGTGGTGGTAGCAGCGGAGATGGTTGCCATCTTTTTCAGTAACTACGAATGATCAGAGTGTGGAACTGAAGTGGTAGAGTATGATCTGGCTGTAAAGAGTAAGGGTACCAGCTTAGTACCAAACCTAATGTTCAAGTTAATATCACCGATCCAAAGAGAGTCCTATACACCACAAAACATGGATAGATTTGTGGCCCCTTGTTAGATATCCTTATCTTTAGCAATCCAATCATTTCCAGCCATGTGTCAATTAATCCATTTGACGATCAACTTTCTCCTCATTCATCTAAGCTGATTTTAGGAAGTTGGAGCAAACTTTTTTTTTGTTAATTGAACTAATTATTTAATAAGAGAAAAATGATCAAGCAGTAATTATCATCCAATAACAACTATTTATATATAATAAATTTGTTAATTTCGATTGCGATAACTTAAAAATTCATAGAGAAAATCAGATTTTTACAGACAGAGCACAATTCTCACACATTGTTGTATAATATATTACTAATAAATTTCAGATAATGATGAAAATATGTCTAAAATATATTAAAAAAGTATAATTAACATTGCCCTCGGAAAAATTTCCCAGGATTACAAAACTAGAGGGATCGTTACACAGCCACATGAAAATGAAATATAAAAAAAAAAAAAAAATCAGCATTTCAAACAAATCACTCAAAATGTAACTTCAATTACTAATAATAGGCCTGCTGCCTTTCGTGCAGTATGATTTCCAAACCTTCCTAGTAATACCCTCGTGACCAATATAACTTCTGATATTTCATAGCCACACCATAGGAAAGAGAATGAGAAAAAAAAAAACCATCATAAACACTATGAAGACGTCACTCCTTTCCACTTTGTAAAGACTAGAGATCAAATCATCCGCACGGAACAATTCAAAACACAGCCGTCATCCCAATTTGCAATTGTGTTCTTCTAAGTAAATAAACCAGCTCCCAGTCGATGCATCATGGAACTGGGCAAGACCCACATTTGCTCCAAATTCACATTAAAATCTCTTCTAACAGGAAAGCAAGTATGAGTTGCTTCAACATGAATCACATTCAGGCCTTGTGTCGCCCAACCAAATACACACCGAATAGCAGAGAATGTCGGTATAAATTAAGAGACACTAAATATTTATATATACAACCAATTGCATCTGCAAGCAGCTACTGAATCTTCATCTTGACTATAATTTGCCAAAGTTCCAGAAATAAATGCAAGGAAATTTGGGGTAGTCAGAGATGTGGAAAACTCTAAAGAAGAATTGAAGAAATAATAACGTGAAGCAATCCGTGAATGAACCCTCGAGCCTGTCAACAACCGAAGCCCACTCAAATCGGGTCGAGGGAACTTTAAATTTTGAACTATGCCTGGAGATTGCACCGTTGCAAAAAATGGTTGTCATAATTCACATATTTGGTCCAAAAACTTTTGTATCTGCCCATGGCAATATCCAACCACGGCTTCCTAAGACCATCATAGTGTATAACGGCAGCCCGCTCAATCTCATTTCGATCGACATCTGAACTATAACCAAGGCCAAGAATATGCCACTGTCTATTCAACAACTCTGTCTTGTTATAGAAAGTGAGCCAGCCTAAAGGTAGACTTCCAACGCTCGACAACCCCTGCAAACATTATCCCAGACAAATACACAAGACAATTATTCCATTATAATTTTATTTTCAAACAATATCGGGGGAAAGAAATGAAAAGTTGCTCAAACAAATTAACATTTGTGCTCCATCTAAAACAGTAATTTGAATGATGAGACGTACTCCCATTATGATTCAACCACCAAAATTAGATACAAGAAGAAAACGCCAATTTTGAATACAAATCTAAAAAATGCCTTGGTGATATCAAATCTTTGCCTGATAATAGCATCCGATTCAGGTAATTCAGAATCAAAACTCAAACTACTTGGTTAAGGATGCTAAAATGCAAAAAAGATAATCGCAAGTGATGATCAATACAATTGAGGTTCAAGAACTTGGATGCCAAACATTGTTCTTCAAATTACCATTACCTCATTAATGTCAAGAGTCTAACCGAAAATCTAATGAAATTTACATCGGAGAAATTTGGTTGGGGTAAAATAAGGGTGGACAAAAGATCCAAATTATGAAATCCAATCCAGAATAATCCAAATCCATATTACTTCAAGTCTATTTAAATGGATTTTTTCCAATTCAAATCCATACTTTTGTATTTTAAGTCCAATCCACTTAATTAAATTTAGATTGGATCATATTTTGGATTTTGAAAATCCAAAATCAAGGGGGTTCTAAGTTGAGATAAAGGTTTAGCCACGTCAGCTCAATCCAAGGTTGAGGAGTTAGCCCAAGCTGAAAGTTGAGTCAAGTTAGCCTAAGACAAAGGTAAAGCCAAATCGGCCTAGGTAGATTCGAGTCATCCCGGTCAAAGGTCGAGCCAAGTTGACCTAGGAAGTGAAGTCAAATTAGCTCGGGCTAAAGGTCAAGATGAGTCAACCCAAGTCAAAGGTCGAGGCATGTCTACCAACTCGAAGATTGGGGAGAGTTAGTCTGGTTCGAAGGTCAAATTGAGTCTGCCTAGACTGAAGGTCCAGGCAAGTTGGCCTGGGCCAAAGGGTGGAGTCGAGTCATCAAAAACCCAAGATTGAGTCGAATCAGTCGAGTCGAAGAATCGAGATGAGTTGGTCTGGACGAAAGAATTGAGCGTAGTAGAACAAGGTCGAAGGTCAAGCCAAGTCAATATAGGCCGAAATTTGAGATGAGTTCGTCCACACCAAAAGTCAAGTTAAGTTGGCCTAAGACAAAAAATCAAGCCATGTTGGCCTCGGTCAAAGGTCAAACTGAATCGGTCATGACCGTAGGTCAAGCCCAATCAGCCCAAACCGAAGAATCAAGATTAATTGACCCAATATAAAGGTCAAGATGATTAGGCTCAAACCCAAGTCGAGCCAAACCTAGGTCAACATGAATCAGCTTGGGTTCACGTCAAATTGAGTTAGTCCCACCCAAGTCTTAATAGGCCTTATAGTCAAGTGTATTAGATTGATCTTACAGGATTTAATCTAATTGACAAAGTGGATTAATCTAGATTTAATCCAATTTAAATTAGACCGAAAAAAATCATATGTAGTTGATCTAGTTAAAATGGATCTGGATTATAGATCCAATCTATTTTACTAGATCTAGATTGGATCTAGACTAGATTTTGAAAAATCCAATCCATGACAACCTTTAGTGTAAAATATTGAAGTGCACAAAACTAAATAAAGACATTTTTTAATCGTACCATTTGCAAATAATTGTGATAGACAGCAGTTAAATTGTGTCTCCTCCACTGTTGCAAATCAAACAAATTCATCCCAAATGCCCATGTGCAAGCATTGATATCAAACCTCTTTCCAATTAATGGATCTGAAAAGTTTAAGAACATGTCAATCCTATGAAATGGGATTTTTCCTTCTTGACAAGTTCCAACTGCTCCAATTACGTTTCCCTTCATATCCATATTCCACAGTGCACTGAGATCTTGTTGTACCACCACATCATGATCAAAGAGCACAACCCTATTTAGAGCAGGAAAAATGTCCGGAAGATAGAAACGTAGGTAGTTCAATTCAGAGGTGTATCTTGGATCGCTGGAGTTACTTTCCAGGAAGGAATTGTCCTTGGACAACCATTCAAAGTTGTCTATGCTCTGTACGTGGACTGTAGCTTTCCCAGGAGGATTTATCAAGAACCACATTGAGATTGCTGGTAAGTTGAGTGATTTGGTCAATACATGGAAAACAAGTTTCCCCTGTTCCTGCAATTTGGAGTTCATTGTCAAGCTTTCTAACCACAATATATATACACACTTAATGAGAACTATTAAAAATAGTATGTTTATGGAGTAATGAGAGAAGAGAAAGTAAAGCAAATGATAACACAAAGTATATTGTTGATAATCTATAATTTGTTGCAGTACCTTCATCTCATACTCCTATTTATACTAATAAATCGGCCAGGTACTTGTATTACTAGTACGAAACCAGCCCATTAACAAACCAAACTAAATAAGGAAACAAAACGTGAAATATTGAAAAATCAGGAAAACAACTCCTAATATTGCTTTCTTAATTAGATGATTAATTGATTTTATAATATTTTCTAAGTACTTTAGAAACTAATATAAAGATATGTTAAGTTAGCATACTTTTAACAATAATTTTCTCAGAGATTCCCACAACTGCAACTAAATTATAATGAATCCACAACTTTACAAGATAAAGTGACATGAATTGATGCAGAGAGACAACATTCTTCTGAAAAAAAAAAAAAAAAAAACTTATTTAGACACTTTAATACAGATGCTGAGAAATCTGACGAGGTAAAACGAGCTCCCACTAACTGGAAATGACTGTTTATCAGGGAGTGACTAACAATAATTTTCTTTTGGAATATATATATCAACCCAATTAAATAATGAAAGGCGACATACTGTAGAAAGAAAGTGAAAGGAGAATTTTATTTTCTAACAAACTACATTGAGATAGATCATAAATCATCTTAGGTATTTGCTGATTTGGCTTCTTGATTCTGAAATAAGTTCTGTAACATTGAAAGCTGCAACTAGAATAACTATTCTAATTTTCAAGTAGTCAGGGTCAACTTCAAATAACATTGTGTACAATTTGTCCTGTAATTAACTCCCCAAGGTTAGGGGGAGGGATTATAATCATAGATCAGGTTCTTCCCCCAAGTTCCTATTTTCACCCTCTCAAATGTCAAACAAGCATTTTCGAGTAATATTGGAGAGAGGGACATCAAGTCATCAACCACCAAAGCAACCACTAACCACTAGGGACTTGTCTACTTTGAAATAACGTGACAGCTAAACTTATTAGTATGAGTTAGTATCTCTTTTTCTTTTTCAGCTTTTTCAGCACATTGGAGTCACAACAGAAACATTAGCTCAAAAAATATTAGAGAGTATCTGTGTTGAAAGAAAAAACAAGATAAAAGTTAATCCAAAAAAAAAAGTAAGTTATTTTACCTTGGCAGATGAGATAGTAGAGTTAACAACTGCTGCACATGCCAGAACATTGTCAGAGAAGACAGCATAATGATAAAGTTCTGTGCGATGAATATTATTTTCATTTGGAAGTTTTCTCTCCTCTGGCCTCAATGCAAAGTACTCTGCAGTCAACTGCATAGAAAGACAATGAATGCCTTTTGGAGCAGTCCTTGCAGCAAGATGTACAAGATATGTTGCTTGATGTCGCTGAGAACGGACTTGCTCTTCAACCTGACGCTTCATTGTATTGAGCTTGGCAGCCATATTAGAACAGTCAGGAAAAGCACGGTAGACTTTAGACAGTGAAGCTTCCATGTGTCTCATTTTCTGCAAAGCACTGTGAACTTCACTTGTTTTCAGATTGAAAAAAATTGTCAAATTTTGTTAACAATTCTTATCAAACAAAAAATGAATGTGTTATAGCCAATCCTAAACCCAGGTAAATGAGTGCGTTAGGCTATTCACAAACAACGTAAAACCCATCAATATACAAACATGGATCAAAGATAACTCATTTCAGATTTGATGATTTGATCTTTAATCAAACCAGTGACACTGTGATCTATGTAACTGATCTCACCTAGCGGAATAAGGCTTTTGTTGTTGCTGTATTCAGTTAAAAAATTAGCAATTAACCATAGTGATTGTGGGACAAATTCAAGTTTCATATTTACTCTCTTCAAGGATCAAAACATTAGCAGTTTTCACTTGAAAGTTCTAGATGCAAGCATAGACTTACATGGGAAATTTTACCTCATTGACAGATCTGAATCCTGGGTGGCTTCACCAACTACTAATTCCATCTCTCTTGATAGCCGCTCCAAATCTCTCAAGCGCAAATTGCTGCTTGGTGGTGCAATTTTCAAGTATGCCTTGGCTAAATTAAGTTGATTCTTAATCTCTTGAACCTTCTTGGTTGTTACTTCAATATTCTTCTCTAACAGTCTCTGTGAATCATGTATATTCCTACCTTGAGACGTGAAGGATAAATCATTCTGCTGAGTTCCCTGGTGTTCTTTTCCGTGTTGATTGAAACCTGAACTCGACAATAGTACAAATTTCAGACAGTCCCATATACTTTATCACTTAAGTGGCCATATGCAAGCCCAAAATTAAATAATAAAACATAAACTCATATATACCAACCATTTATTTCCAAAGTGGCGCCTCTGTATCCCGCATTTCTAGATTCGTTAGAATCATGATTGTTTTCTGAATCGTAACCAATTGTTGAAACAAAATCTTTTTCCGTATAAACAACTTGATTTGGTTCATCTAATTCTTCAGCAGCTTCCTGAAACTCAAAAACAGGCAGAAAATTTAAAAGTATTATATGTCAATTCACTCGGAAAAGAAAACAAGTACTTAACGCAATGAGGAAAATTCATTATCAAAACCCTTATTACCTGTTCTACAGCATTTAACTTCAAAGTATCCGTCCTGTATGCCTACAACAAAAATAAATTAATAGCAAAGATCGTTTAAAACAATCCATAGGTGTTTGGTATTGTTATTAAATAAAAATTGAAGTTTTACATCGAGAATGAAAAACCTTGATGACACAAAAAAACAGATATAAAATTATAGTTCTAACTGGAAAAATACACCAGTAGCACGTATCAAACTGCATCTAAGTTTTATCCTAAAATAAATTCAAGTTCCAAAGCGGAGCATAAAAGCTTGTATAGTTCAACTAGCTGCTTTGAAAGGAACACAAATGTTTCCTCCACTTAAAACAAACAAATCCGAAGTAATACGATTCTCCGCTATAAATTCCGGGAAAGTGCGAGAAATTCCGTTGACAACTCCACTCACCGACACTACATTTTAAAATCCAGTACTAAAAACCAAGGCAAGCAACATATCCTCCGGCTCAAACTCTTTCGTGGCAACCAAAAGCAAGAAGAGCTAGAAACAGATTTCAAAAAAAAAAAAAACAGGAATCCGGAGTCTTACAGCGCGATATAACTCTTCGAGAAACTCTCTTCTTCCTGAAACGACGGCAACATAAAGGCGCAGAATCAATCGAAAGAGTCACAAAAAATGGTGAAAGCAAAACGACATTGCAAAATAACAAGTAGCAAAGAAGCACGTGATGAGAGAGAAAGATAGAGGAATTGAACTTACCGAGAGGAGTGAGAAGGTTGAGGCGGTGAGAGACGAAGACGAGGGGAGCGACGACGGAGAGAGAGAGAAGAGAGAGGATGAAAATCCTCTGGCAGCGACGGATTTTGCTCATTGATGAGTTTGGTTCTTCTGGATCCTACTGGAGAAGTAGTGCGTTACATTACATTGCGTAGATTCAGATCTTGGAGGGGATATGATGTTTCAACCCGAAGAAACACGCACGTAGGGTTTCACTTACCGTTTCCGATGATAGTTAGTGTCAGCGAGATAGAGAAAAAAGAAGCAGAAGCTTAGCTTTGACTGTGGTTATAGTTCCGACACGGCTACCTGTGAGTGACAGTCGGTGAGAACGAGCAAAGTCAAGTATAATTGACTGCGAAAATTATTATTTATATATACAAAAGTTTCCAAACAACCATTTATGTTTTTAGAAGAATAAATTCATAATAGTTTAATTTTTAAAATAATTAATATGTTCTTATTTTTAACGAGACTTCGGTCGGGTTTGGTGTGACCCTACTAAAACACTCTTAATTGTGTTGAAGACTGGGTGGATGCTAGAGACTGGACGGACGAACACTGTTCAACGTACTGTAAGATGAAGACCAAGCGGGCTTTGCTCAAAGCGGGCTACCATTGGGAGCTGGACGAACGTTGAAGACCCCTTAAAACATTTCGAGATGGTTTCGAGATCGGACGGTTCTTGATAACTGGACGGACACGTTGAGGAATAGACGGATTCGTTGAAGGCCGGACGACCACCTTGATCTTCCCATGTTCCAAGTTGTTCATTCTCCCTCCTCCTCCGAGCCGGACAGGCGGGTACCTGTCAAAGACACTCCGACTCTCAAGTTACTAATGTAACTGAGCGGTAAGTAATGCATGTATTTAGACACTCCGACACTTTGAGAAGCTTGAGTTGGCACTCGAGGACGTTTCCAAGTAGAATAACCCTGGTGGTTTGAACTCTAGAAGTAAACCGTTGTTTCAAGTCAGGAATATTAAACTTAATTTTCCTAAATTTGATGGTACAAATGTGCTGCAGTGGATTTTTAAGGCTGGACAATTTTTTGAGTATTACTCCACTCCTTAGCTCCAATGGTTCACTATTGTTGCGATTTATTTCGAGAAGGATGTTGTACCTTGGTTTCAAATGATGCAAAAAACAACCCCTTCTAATTCTGGGAAGGTTTTACTAAGGCATTAGAACTATAATTTGGTTCTTCTCCTTATGCATGCCCATGCTCTGCTCTATTTAAACTATCACAACTGGAATCTGTAAATGATTATTATGTAGAGTTCACTGCTTTGGCTAATCGTGTTACAGGACTTACAGTCGATGCCATATTGGATTGTTTCTTGAGTGGCCTCAAACTTGAAATAAGAAGATATGTGTTGGCTCAGTCACCTAATTCTATTCTTAAAGTTGTGTCCTTAGCCAAACTTTTTGAAGAAAAATACACTCCTCAATTGAAATCTTACTTTCCCTCTAGCTACCCCAAACCCTCCAACACAAAACCAATCACAAGCCAACAATTGAAACCAAATGTCTTACCACTCCTGTTACCCCATCGAACATGAAACCATTTAGCCAACCTTTCAAACCACCCACTTTTAAAAACATCACACTAGCTGAAATGCAAAGTCGCAGAGAGAAAGGATTGTGTTATACTTGCGATGAAAAATTCACCCCTAACCATAGATGTCCTAATAAACAATACCTTTTGTTGCAATATGAGAAGGATGAGGAACCTTTAGATGAAACAAACCCATCTCCGCAACTTACTGATGCCAACACTGAACCTCTTTTGGACCATCATCTCTCCTTCAACGCTTTTAAAGGCTCTCACGGCGTGGGTACCATGCACTTCCAGGGCTCTATTCAAGGTACCTTTCCTATTATGGTGGGCAATGGAAACTCCTTGATAGTGGAAGGCCTGATTCGAGAACTCAAGGTGGCAGTACAAGGTCATACACTCACTCTTCCAATCTATTTATTACTGATTTCTGGAGCATATTTGGTTTTGGGTGCATCCTGGCTGACGACATTAGGCCCTCATATTTCAAATTACAGTGTTTTGACTCTGAAATTTTACTTAAATGGCGAATTTGTTACTCTACATGGTGATAACTCTATGACTCCAACCCCAGCACAATTCCATCATATACGGAGAATGTTTCACACCTATGCTCTTGATGAATGTTATACTTTACAACTTCATGTTCTTAAGAGGAGGCAAAAGGATCAAGGGGTTGATTTCTCTACTGACTTACAACCGGATCTAGCCCTTCTCCTATATAATTATAGATCTGTTTTCGACAAACCTTCGGGCTTACCACCTGATCGGTCTCATAATCACCGGATTCCCTTGTTGCCAGGTACTAATCCTGTGCAAGTTTGACCTTATCGGTATCCCCACAACCATAAGGCGCAGATTGAACACATGGTTGCTGAGATGTTGAATGAAGGCATCATTTCTCCTAGCAACAACCCATTCTCTTCACCAATACTATTATTAAAGAAAAAAGATGGTACATGGCGATTTTGTACCGATTATAGGGCTCTAAGCACCATCACTGTTAAGGACAGCTTTCCCATCCCTATGGTTGATGAATTACTTGATGAATTGGGGGGTGCTCAATATTTTTTCAAGCTTGATCTTCACTCAGGCTATCATTAATTTTCTGTGGCACCAGAGGATAGATTCAAAACTGCTTTTCGAACTCATCAAGGCCATTACAAATGGCTAGTTATGTCGTTTGGGCTCACCAATGCCCCATCTACCTTCCAAAGCTTAATGAATTCAATTTTTCACGGGTTGTTGATAAAATCAATGTTAGTTTTTTTTATGATATATTGATCTATAGTGCATCATGGCCACTTCATTTACACCACTTGGAAGCTGTACTTCGAATTTTACAACAACACCAGCTATTTGCCAAATTGTCCAAGTGTCATTTTGATATACAAGAGGTGGAATACCTTGGTCATATTGTCTCGAGTAAGGGTGTCTCGATGGACCACAATAAGGTGAAGGCAATTTTGGGTTGGCAAATCCCAACAACAGTGAAGCAATTACGAGGATTTTTGGGCTTGACCGGGTACTATCGTTGATTTATAAAGGGTTATGCTTCCATCGCTGCTCCCTTAACCAATTTGCTTAAAAAGTCTAATTTCCATTGGGATTCTCAAGCCAATCTTGCTTTTGATAACCTCAAGACAACTATCACCAAGGCTCTTGTATTGGCATTGCCGAACTACTCCAAAGCCATTCATATTGTCAACTGATGCATCAGGGACAAACATCAATGTTGTTCTTAGTCAATCCCAACACCCAATTGCTTTCTTGTCCAAGAAATTGTCACCACACATGCAGAAGCAATATGCCTATACGCAAGAATTTAATGTAGTCACTAAGGCTATAGCGAAATTTCGGCATTATTTACTTAGCCATAAGTTCGTCATACGCACCAATCAGAAAAGCTTAAAATGTCTCATGGAACAAACCATTCATACTCTAGAACAACAAGCTTGGCTACACAAGTTATTGGGGGTATGATTTTACCATTGAGTATAAGCTTGACAAGGAGAACCTAGCTGCATATGCTTTGTCTAGATCCTGTTTCATGGCTTTTTCTAGGCCTAAGTGGGATCTCATCACAAACCTACGTGATGCAGTTGTTTCATATTCACAACTCTTTGATATTATCAGACTTTGCAACGCAGGCAAACCCCCAAGTCCTTATTACTCCATTCATAATCAGTTATTGTTCTAGAAGAACAGACTGGTGGTACCAGCTCAACATCCCTTGATTACAAATATCTTACAGGAGTTCCATAGCTCTCCCATAGGTGGCCACTTGGGTATTGCGCGCACATCGGCTAAGGTTTCTTCTCAGTTTTACTGGCAAGATTTGCACAAGGATATTAAATCTTATGTACAACAATGTTTGATATGCTAACAAGCCAAATCCTCCACTACTTTGCCAGCGGGACTCTTACAGCCCTTCCCTATCCCCCACCAAATTTGGGAAGACTTGGCCATGGGTTTTATTCTTGGCCTTCCCCCATCACATGGTTTCTCTATGATTATGGTCGTCACTAATTGTCTCTCTAAGTATGCACATTTTTGCACGCTTAAGGCAGATTATTCAAGATAGCAAGTAGCTGAAGTTTTCATGCGATACATTGTGAAGTTGCACGAGATACCAAAATTCATAGTTTCCGACCGTGACAAAGTCTTTACAAGTAATGTTTGACAACAACTTTGTAAACTCAGTGGCACTTCATTAGCGATGAGCACCACCTACCATCCTCAATCTGATGGTCAATCTGAAGCTCTTAAGCGATGCTTGGAAATGTATTTAAGATGTTTCACCATTGATGACCCGAAAGGCTGGAGTAAGATGTTGTCATGGGCAGAATACTGGTATAATACTTCCTTCCAAACTAACATTGGCATGACACCCTTCAAAGAAGTTTATGGGAGAGACCCCCCTACTCTTCCTAATCATGTGAAGGATGCTACAGAACCCCCTTCTTTACAGGAAATGTTGATGTATCGTGATCACACACTACTCTGTCTCAAGCAAAAATTGGCAAAAGCGCAAAATCTAATGAAGAAATATGCGGACAATAAACGAGTTCATGTGGAGTTCCAAGTGGGAGACCTTGTGCTTGTGAAACTCCAACCTTATCGGCAACATTCAGTCACCCTTCGCAAAAACCAGAAACTTGGCCTTCGTTACTTTGGTCCCTTCCCAGTAATGCAACGAATTGGACTTGTTGCTTACAAATTATCATTGCCTCCCACATCAAAGATTCATCCAATTTTCCATGTGTCCTTATTTAATCCATTCAAAGGAGAAAATCAACAACCATATATGACCTTGCCTTTTATCACCGATGAACATGACCCTGTCATTCAACCGCTCAAGGTGTTACAATCCAAAGTCATCTTACGCGCAAATCAACATATACCTCAAGTATTGATCCAATGGGAAGGATTTGATATCTCCAGAGCTACTTGGGAAGATGTGAGTACTTTGCAAATGGAACATCCTAACTTCAACCTTGAGGACAAGGTTGATCTCCATGGAGAAAGCAATTTTATGAATGGCACGGGCAATGAGCAGGTGAAGAACGCAGAACCCAATGGACACATGGCAAAGAAGGAGAAAAACAAGAGCAACCGCAAAAGTGTCAAGAAAAGAATAACCAATTCTGCACTGAAGGATTTTTTGTGGAGCACTACGTGAGTATAAGAGAGGATATTGCTATAGAGGAGGGGGTAGAAGATTGGAATTGTCTCTTTCTCTCTCTTGACCCTTTTTAGGATATTCTCTAGCCATTCTGTTATTTTTGCTGTCAGCTTTTTGACTCTTTCATTTCAATTTCTGTGAAAGTTTCCATATTCCACACGACAATATAAGTTTTCTTCTTCCATCTATTTCATTCTTATGCATCAATATCAGCATTCCTAACATCACAATAATTTCTTAAATTTTAATTATATACGAGCTTATTTATATGGCTAAATTTTAGAGACATGATTTTCTGAGGATAGGTTTAACATAGTTTATGTAAATTAAATGATGAAAAAAGTCTTGGTTTTAAAGATATAAAAGGCAAGATGAAATTGAAGATTAGGCACCAAAAAGCAAGGGCTTTAGAAAGAAATTTTGGAATAAAAAATGTGAGGAAATAAAGAGACTTACGTTGAATATGTGAAGATAGTTGAATATGTGAAGATAGTTGAATATGTGAAGATAGTTAAATATGTGAAGCTAGTATAAGGAATACATGGTTTGAAGACATAATAGAAGGAAATGTAAGACAAGAAAATAACATATTATTTTGGATGTAGGAGTCTATAATAGCTCCTTCACACTTTCTACTACTTCTTTTCGTCTTATTTAAGGTCTCTTTCATAATATTTTTTAGTTTTCTTCAGTTAAATTCAAGCTGAGTGGTGAGTACCTGTAAAAGGCACTTTGACTCTCAAGTTAATAATTTATATCGATCGGTTGTCACATTTAAGTTTTAAATGTTCAATAAATGTAATCATCTACTTTCTTACCTTACCTTTGTATTTATAGGTTTCTAAATAAACTTTTGATTAGAGTCAACCCAATCACGAGCCAATAGTTCATAAGTATGTTTTGCCTTGTTAATCATGCTGGATTTATGAAGAGCAATTTACCTTATACTTACCGATTAGTCAGTTCCGTAACGAAGACCGACCAATTATATGAAACAAGGCCCCAAGCCTGTTTGGGCAGATGTTCGCAGTTGGGAGAAAGTTGACCGGTTGATCAACATAGAGGAGTATGTTGACCAACCGGTTATATGGTACACATACAATTCTAATAAGATATATAGGTTAAAGACAAACTACATGGCACATATATCCTAGATGGTATGCTAATTCAAATATGAAACATGTAACACTAAATAAGCATGCACAATGGAAGGATAATATGTGGAAATGAACCATTATTTTAAAAAAGAGTGGTTTAATTGAAAAAAGTCTCAAGCAAATTTATTGTTTGAAACAGTACTAGAAAATATTGATTGTTTTCGACATTCTACATCAATTTTTAGAATTGATGTAGATCTCACTGAGGTAAAAAATGAAAGACCTTTTACCTTAATTGATAACCATGTAAAAATTTTACATACTATGTTAATTGTGTATCCAACCAATGTAATATCTTCATTTTCTATATTGGTTGTAGGTCAATGCAATATCTCATCTTCCTATATGTAATATTATTTTTTTAAAATAGATGTTCAGAAGTTACATTTATTTGTTACTTTACTTTTTTACATTTCTCATACAAGACAAAATATAACAATATTTGTATTACATCAAACAATATAACATCATTATACAAATATTTGTAATCAAATATAAATTTTAAAATTATTTACTTAAGATAAAACATGTGATTTCGCGAGAAAAAATTGATAGAATTTTCACGATAAAGAGAAAAAGGAAGAGGTGCACTTCTTTATATAACATTGTCTATATAATGTTGTGAAGCCAAATTTATAAAAAAATTACTAACTTTTTTTTAAATATTAAAATCAAATTAAAAAAATCAAAATTTTACACTAGAGAAAATTACATGAAGTTATTAGTCAGGAAAAAGAAGACACTTGAATGAAAAATAAAAATGACAAAAGGTGTTCATATATGTTCATTGAATTTTGAGGAGTGAGAGCAATTTTATGGATATAATTTTTTTGCTTAACAAGTTTTGTTAAATAGTGTGATCACAAATAATAATCTAAGATATAACCTTATATAAGTGGTAGATGCCTTTGTGAGAAGAAAGAGGAAATTGTCGCTAAATGACAAAATTAATCTCATATTTTCAAAAATTGAGCAAAATGGAATAGTAAAGAAAAAAAAATGAACATATAAAACTAGCAACATATTCAAAAGATATAAAGTTAAATATAAAATTAAAAACAATTTTACCTAATTCAATAGTCAACTACAAAGATGGCATAAATATAACATAAAAGTTGGAATTATAGTCTTATAAACAAACTTGATGTATTATAAAGCCTAATTTGATTTGAGTGAGAAATTAGTATAAACATGTTATTAAAAAATCAATATATAATATGATGATTAAAACACTTCAAATACTTCCTTTATATATATATATATATATATATATATATATATATATATATATATATATATATATAATAGGTTTTGAAGTCACACAAATAAAAGAAAAATAAAAACTGTTCATTTGAAGTTAAAAATCAAAATGGAATAATTAAAAATATAAAGAACCATAAATACTAACAACTAAATGTGAAGCTAAAAAAATTCAGTTGAGGTGCGAGTACATTGACCTTGGGGTGCAGGCGAGCGCAGAGAAGAGAAATCCCCGCCAACAAAGCGATTACACGTAATAGTCTGTTAATCTAGAGTGCGCAGCATAAGGTAGGATAGCGCAAAGGTGCACGTTATCTTTGCATCCGACATCACAATCTATCTGCTCGAAGAAATCGAACAAAATAAATGCAAAGTTTGATTGAGAAAAGGAAAAAAAAAAGAATAAAAAGACAAAAGAGAGAAAACCAGTTTGGAGCGTTGGTTAAAGGCTTTTCTCCTTTCGATTGAGATCAACCTCAACAACACCAACGCTGTTCGAATCCAACAAGCTACCCCTAAATCCACGTCCAATCTCACCGACCCATCTCCTTTCTATAGCATTCTTCACCGATCCACACTACCTAGGTCCCTTTCGCTCCTTCTTTCTCTGCTCATAATATCTTATTATTCGGCCTTTGATTCTTGATTTCGGAGTGTTATATCTATGCTTCTTTGTCATGGTGGTGTTAATGCAGGTGATTCTGCCGAAGTGGACGTAAATTTGCATGCACTCTGGTGGATAGCATAGAATACACACAGACACACACTCATATACATACATACGTGAGGTGTGAGAGTTAAGGTTGGGTGATCCATGACGATGAAGAGGCTGGTGAGAGTGAAGAGGGATGCGATTGCAGCATGCATGACTTGCCCGCTTTGCAACAAGTTCCTCAAGGAGGCCACTGCCATTTCTCTTTGCCTTCATACGTGTAATTAATCGCTTCCTTCTTAATCTCTTCTCAGTATCCCTTCTATTATTCCTTCCCTTTTGCCTTTTTATTCACTTGTCATCTCAATTTTCTCAAATTTTTATTCTTTCCGCGTTTTCCATTCATGGGGTTTGTCCCGGTTTCTGCGTTGTTCATTTGGGTTTGTTGCTTGTTATACTCAAGATGGGGAGTATTTGGTATTTGCTTAATTACAGATATGGGTGTTTTGTAAGTAAATACTTTTGAAAATTCTATTTTTACTGCTGTGAGTATACCCATGTTACACACCATTCAGAACGTGGTTGTTACACAATAGGAAGTTCTGTGCTTCGATTTGGCCCACTGTGTCAACAGCTAGTTTTTTCTTTTCCGTGATAGGAACTTTTCTTGCGTCTGTACTTTTCTGGTGTTTTTTTTTAGCTAATAAACTTTCTTGTTTTTTTTTAATGCCTATATATTTAGGAAAATCGTATCCAACTCTATAAACCATTCAACAATAGTCTTTCTTAATTTACTTGGCTTCATTTCTTATGTTGTTAATTGGGGAGGTTTATACGGTAAGTAACTATGCCTGATGGTTTTTCTCGATTCTCATGGACATTGTGATGTGAAATTTGTGTTTATTATGGATGCTTCATGGATGAAGGACAAACTGATCCCGTAGAATTTATGCAGTTTGCAGGAAGTGCATTTATGATAAAATTACAGATGAAGAATTGGAAAATTGTCCAGTATGCAACATTGATTTGGGCATTGTTCCGCTGGAGAAAATGAGGTCAGTCCCTTCAGATAATTGTGACTAATCCCTCTTTTGTTGTACTTTTTCTTCAAAAGGAAGTGGAGGGGGAGGGGGGGAGTAACTACAAAAATGGAAGGTGTTGATTTACCTTGTTCTATTGTTCCGGCAAGAGATTCTGTTCTGCATGTCAATTTTTGAAAGCTGCTAAAATAGAGATGCAAGATACACCGTTTCATTTAAAAATTTAATTTATTGTTGACGTGTCTAAATTTGCACTTAAAAGCTGTCTAATACTGCTAAGTTGCTCAAACATTATGGAAAGAAAAAGGAAACAATCATGCTGCAATCAGATCTTCCTCTAGGTTGGTATTACGTTGCAACATCACGCAAGAAAGAGAACTGTTGATGTGATGTGGTCATCACATAAAGTCATTCATTTCTTAATTTTTTTGGGAACTTGCTCCCGAAATCCACTTGTGGCATCATAATAACTCGTTGTAATGTTCATGCAAGTGAACTATGACATCCAAGGGAATAAAATACATTCATCTTGTCATCCATTGATAACATAGCCTACTATTTTCATAGTATGCTTGCAGTTTATTTTCTGAAGTTTTCCATTCATGTATACATTTTACGCGTCTGATGTTTGGCATAGAAAATATCAAAGCATTTAAGATGCATAAAACCAAAACTTAAAGCAAGAAAAATTTTTAACCATTGTGCTTTAACTCCATCAGATGGATTTAATAATTTTTCATCTGAAGTATTAGCTTGAATCAGATAAGGACTAATCATAAAAATAGTTGTGATCCCATTAATAGATGGAACGGCTGACATAATTGACCCCATTATTTGGGGTTTAGAATATTCTTTAGCTGAGTATCTTTAAGTTCAATTTATTAGTTTTGCTTTGTCTGTAGAAGATTTCATTCCGAGGCAGTTGCTATTGGTTTTAGTCCTTGCCCAAAATTGGTGGATTTATCCTATTAGCAAAGTTTTTGGACTATAAGAGCATATAATGTTAATATATTGGCAATACTGGATCAAACATTGGAGGCATTAGTATTGGTGAATTAGTTAGAGACAATACATAGATAGTTTTGCAAACTGTCTCAAGTCTCAACCAGATGTGAAAAACTTGCAAAACTTAATAATATATGCTTTATATTAATTGCCTTCATCACTATTCTTTATATGCATGGAAGCACACAACTAAGTTTTTTTTTTTTTTAAATAGCTTTTCTCTTTTAATATGTTGCACGTCTTTCCTATTCCCAGGCCAGATAACAGTTTGCAGGATTTAAGGAACAAAATTTTCCCTTTCAATAAAAGAAAGCAGAAGGCACCTGTAGCCATCCCTTCAGTACTATTACCAGCTAGAAGAAAGGAAAGATCACTGTCATCTTTGGTTGTCAACACTCCAAGGGTATCTACACAATCAACCATGACAGGGAGAAGAACAAAACCTACAAGAAAGGCACTAGGCCTGCAGGGCTCTGGTTTCTCTGTTGAAAAGCTCATTAAAAAAGAAGAGGAATTACTGGAAGATCGCCAAGATAGTTCGTGCTCACCTGACACTTCAAACAAGTCTGCAAAGAGTGCGGGACAGGTAGGAAAGACGATCATGCTCTTCTCGTTGTGCTCACCATATATGTTTCTGTTGACTGTTTTTTTTTTTGGTTTATTTGTTTTCCCTGATGGCACCTGCCTAAGTTTACAATGTGTTTTTCTTATTGGTTTAGAGTTTGTCACCTTGTAAAAATAGTCAATCCATATGCAATAGAGGACTGCAGAATGGTGCTGAAACACAGGAAGCAAAATGGGATCTTTGGAAAACTTTGAATTATTTAGCAGAGGCTGCAAGTAGGAGTAAGTCTTTCAAGTCTAATGTGCAATCGTCTAATGCTAAACCAGAATCCGTGAAAGTAAATGACAGCGATAATAAAGTGCTGAAAGGCAAACATGAGGAAAATAAGCGCAAGGCAAAAGTTGAAGATGAAAAGATTAGCACTGATCATGTCTCTCCAGATACAGCAAAACCCAACAAACTGCGAAGAGTTCGCCCAAAAAAGGAACCTGTTTTTGGAGAATCTAGAATATCCCCTCAGGCTGTTCTGGATGCTAATGATAGTAACCTCTTATGGAATGACTCAATTTGGTTCTCCTTAGCAGCTTCTGAAAATCAGTGAGAAAACATAGCTTTGAAACTTGAATTAACAAATTCTATCTTGGCATCCAGTAATTATTATATATGTTTCGTAAATCATCTTTTGAATATTTCTACTTGTACTTAGTTCCCACTAATGTTTCAGGGAAGGAGATGCACCTTTACCCCAAATTCCTTCAAGTTATGTAAGAATAAAGTAAGTTCCTTGTCATTTTCTGGACCAATGTAGACAGTGTTACAAGTTAATTATATCTTTTAAATGAAAATATCCTACTTTGCTATTCATTAATATTTATATAAGCCCATCCACAGCAGGGTACGGATTTGTTTGAACAAACTTTTTCGTAAGCCCTTTTAAGAAGCCAAAAGGAAAAGAAAAAACTGAAATTAATTTCTTCATAAGCTCAAATTAACTTATGCACAAGTTAAAAAAAAAATTTAAAAAAGTTATGAGAGAACTTCTACATGTTAGTTAATACATAAGCTAGTTTTAGTTATGAAGAAGTTAATTTTAGTTTTTCCTCTTTTATCATGAGATCATGTTAGAAGTTTGCCCAAATAGACTCATAGTAAACTTTCATGCAACTTATCAAATAACACCAAAGGAAGTGATTGGTTTGACCTTTGGCTGATTATGCCTCAGTAGTCAATGATCTATTACTCCATCAATTAGAAAGAGGAGAATTGAACTAGTAGGAACATATTCATATCAAGGTAATACGTTAGCTATTTAAGCATGATACTGGAAAAAGGAAATAGCAAAAGGACAAGCTTGATAAAAATCTGTGACTGTCCCAAGGATGGAAAGAGGCCATGGATGCACGAAATGATTGACCACTTCAAAATTAAAGAATTCTTTGAACAATTCTACTGTCATGCAGGGATGCATCCCTCCCTCCCCTCTTATCAATAACTGTAGTAGCACTATTAGTGTATAATGTATTTTTCTCTTTTTGTACAAGTTTCTACTTTTCCATCTGGAAGAATGCTTGAGAAACTGGTTATGCTTTCAAATATAGAACTAACCGAGCTCTGATTTCTCATGTCTGTCTATTCATTTTGCTCAAGGGACGGAAGCATACCTGTCTCATTTATCCAAAAACTGTTAATGAAGAAACTGGGCCTGAAAAGTGAGGATGAGGTAAGTCTTTGTTGGATATGTAAAATAGATTCATATTCAGGCAAAGGGTTCTGGAGTTTTAGCATTTGCATTTTGTTATCATTAAAGTGCATGACATGTTGCAGTATTCTATCTTTAAAGACGAGCACTTGTAGCTTATAGTCTGAAGTTACTTTTGTTGCAGGTTGAGATCAAATGCATGGGACATCCTGTGCTTCCTTCACTACAGGTACAGAATTTAGTTGAATTGTGGCTTGATACGGCATCTACAGGCCACAGAATTCCTGCAACCATAGGATCCTCAGGGAAAGATTTTGTGATGATCCTAACCTATGGTCGGAAGGTCCAACAACCTTGACCATGAGTTGCCAATAGCTACAGTACCATGTAGCAGGATAATAGGCTGAATAATTATGAGGAATCTCCTCTCCTTGTAGAATGCTAAATGTGGAGTAGCAGAGGATGATGTTGAGTTAGTTATGGTAGTGATTGATTTTTATAGAGCATGCCTTTTCATTTGCACACTGGCTGCCACAGATGGTTTCTTTCTTGGATATTTGCCACAAAATCACATTATATCTTCTTGTTAAAGCAGTGCAGTGTCTACAAATTAAGCAAAGGCAATCCACCATAATTTCTATAATCCACCCTGCATAAGCAATTATTTGTTTTACAATGTTATCCCTAAATTATAAGTTATAAATATATGATGTAGGATTTTAATAATTTTATTTTTATTTAATAAAATTAGTAAAACTAATAAATTTTATAAGTTTTTTTTAAAATAAGTAATATTCCTGATTTTATAATTTTTAATTTTTAAGTATAAATCTATTAAAATTTTTGTAATCGATGTTATAACTAAAATAATAATGAAAATTAAATTTTAAATAATTAAAATTGTCAAATAAAAATAATAAATAAATAAACTTAAATAATGACAAATTCAGGCAATAGTATAGCGGAAATATCATAAGCTATTAAAATATTTTGAGACAAATTTATATAATAATTTATATAATGTAAATTGTGAGATTGGAATGTCCTGTACCGTTATTGATTTATGTGAGCTGCGAGTCATGCATAATAAAACTAAATAGACAAATGAAACAAAATATTCAGCTCGTTCTACAAAATAATTTATCATTTCTCCTTTTTGTTCATGATTTACCTGTCTGCAGATGTTTTACATAAATATTCATAAGAATGTCTATTGATACTAACTATTCATACACGCAACTTTTTCTACGGCTATATACTTTTGGAAATATTTATATTAATTAAATCTATTTAATTATTGTTATACACATGTATTGATAAAATGATGAAAAAGTGTCTATAAGAGTTTGCAAATTGTCATGTCTAATTGAAGTGTTTTTTATTATTAGATTTCTAAATTTTTCATTAATATTTGTTTATTATCATGAATCATAAATATTTTCTCAGAATTTCACTTAAGTGTTCTCATGTACAATACTTCAAACAATATATTTTGTTTGAATATTTTTTTTTCTTGCTCTTGATTATAATTAGTACTATCAATATTTTGAAAATTATCGATAGCTGAATTGTGCTATAATTTTTTTTATCATTTGGATTTGTTTTATCTTTTTATGAACAATAGCAAATTCATCCAGAGCTTCAGGCTTAATTGATTATCTATTCTTCTTTTTCTTTAGTTTCTGAAACCATATTCATATTTCTATTTGACATTTCTATCATTTTAATTTTGTAAAATATAAAAGTCCACAAAATGAAGTAAAAAAAATTGTAAAGTTAAATAAGAAAACACGATGAAATGGACAAAAAAAATATATTAATGATGAATGATAGAGCATGAAAATAATAACAATTGCACGCATAAAACAATCTTTTTGGATTTGGTAAAAGTTTGATGTTGTATATTACTTCAACTATTCCAGTCTTCAAAATTGAAAAGAACATGATCACAGATGAAAAATAATATGAAGATGAGAATAATAACAAGGAAGGTACGAGATAAAGAATTTGTAGTTAAATATAAAATTTGCAACATATGTATAAAAGTCAACATAAAGTAATCGTAATAATTGGAAATAAGAAACATTTAGTTTGACGGTAAAATAATTGATATAGTCAATGAGATAAACAATTATAAAAAAACAGAAAAATAATTACACTTGTTTGTAATTGCTAGTACTCAGTTAATTCTGTATTAGTTAATCATACTTAATTATAGTGATAATAAATAAGAAGATTAAATAAAAGAATTTAATAAAATAAAAATTAAAAATAATTAAATATATCTAAAAAATAAGTTAAAGAATTAAGGATAAAATTCACATAATATCTGTCGAGATGGGTTGATTTATCAAAATATGGGTAATTGCCATTTATAAACATTTAATGCCCAAGTAATTGCCAAACAACGATTTTTTGTCCTAAAGCCCAGAGTGACAGTCTCCTATTTCTAGCAATTATGTTCAAAATTATTTATTTATTTCCATCACATGTCCTGCACATACGAAGTACATACAAGGCAGTACTTATACACAGAAACTCCTATCCTATTTGTCCTCTTGGTACGTCTACAACATAACTTCTTTCTTCACACAATAGCTTCAAATAGAATTTAGAAAATAATACATAGATCAACAATCTTTATCAAATATACAACTATTAAGTAGAATTTCAGCACAACTAAGCATGTCCAACGAATATAAATTACCATGATTGATTTTATGACTATATTTTAACATGATAGTAAGAAATCTGTCAAGGAATCACTCTTAAGGAATAATTTTCAGGCGAAAAAAATCAATTTTTCCAAGCAGAACAGTCTAGTATGGAGGTAAGTGATGAAACATGGACAGATTACATATATTTTATATCTTAATAACCAACAAATATTTGGTAATTTAAGAACCAGATTCAGTTTGCGGGCAAAAATGTTATATTTCATTTCCTGTTTTCACTCATCAATACAAAAGTGCTATATCATTCTCAACAATTTCCTGTTTTAGAATAATTGCACAAGAAATAGTAAAAACAATAAAAAGCTGTTTGCACCACTTCCTATAGACACATATTTTAAAACAAAGTGAAAAATTTATAGTTATTGGTAAAACAAGAAATGAAAACATATTCTTTTACATATCCAATTTACCCATGACCCTAAGAACTACAGATCCAATCTTATGATGTGAAACATCAGGAAACCCATTTCCATCATTCCAGAAAAGAACCCACAAGAGTACTCAAGAATGGATGAGGGAAGAGTTTCAACCCTCAGTCTGGTTGCGTAACCTTTACATTCTTCCCTTCCATGTTTGTGAGATTAGATCTCAACTTCCACCCAACAGTTAAACTAGGTAACCAAAAGGAGGCAACTGGCATTGATTAAATTAGGCGTCAGCTAAACAGTCAGGCAGTTACTTTGACATATTGTTTAACTAGACCATAATAAGTTGGCAATTCTGTGGTTTTCTTTTCAATTCTCTCAATACTTGATTCACACAGGGAACTAGAAGACGCTCTGTAGCGCATTGTCTTCACAATATAACAAAAGCATGTCTATCAACAAAATCAAATCTCAAAACAACTGCAATCAAGCCACTCCAAAAAGCATAACATTACACAAAAGGAAGCCACTATAGAATATATGTTCTTAATTTAATCATATTATATACTCACAAAAAGAGCAAGAATAACAAAATGAAAGTAAAAACAACAAATGAGTAACCAAAATGGTCCACTCTTCAAAGCAACCAAAATCTATCTATACTTACACTAGACAAAAAAATCAATTTTTATCCATTATTACTAACCTATTATAAATGCAAAAAGCACACCAAACCAGACCATAAACCAAATTGGAACTCAAAATACAGAAATTGAATGCGATTGCTTCAACCTATGAGTACTTCTTCAAGAATTTACACGAATTCAGTGAACACGAAAAAAGAAAGGGCCACCATCGAACCCATTCCATGCTAACAACACGGTACGTAAAACTATCATATTGACACAATTCACATTTCCAAGTGACCAAAACCTAAACTGGAGCCTCTATATTCTTCGAATAGATGCAATGCAAGAAATACAACAACGATTAAACGAAACAAATTGTTGTATATACCACAGCCAACTATATTCTAGTTTGCCCTGTTCGTTTCGTTGGGCTACCGCCAACAACCGAGACCAAACCCCCATCAGAAACTTCCAATTCATCCATATACAAATCATCGGTGTTCCGAAACGCCGCATGCAGCGCCACCGCCGCCGCCGCAACGAGCAGAGCTGAAACCACGTTCAGCCAGACGCCGGTGAGGACGAGCGCCGTCACAGTGAGGGCAGTGAGCGCGGCAAGGACGAGGCGGTCGTCGAGCGTGCGGTGGAGCACGACCACAGGGCCGTCACGAAAGAAATAGAGAAAGAACCACGCGATGAACACGGCGATGAACACGATGAGTGAAATCGGTTGAAAGAGGAGGCTGAGGAACAGGACGAAGAGCGCGATCATGACGTAATTCACACGAAAGTATCCAAGATTGCGCTTGACACGAAGTGTGGCTTCGCCGAGGGAGTAGGGGAGCGTGAAAGAGCGCAGTGCAAGAAACTCCTGCCATGGACGCCGCGTGTAAAAGGCGGAAGGAGGCGTGGCGCGTGAGATGGAAGGGATTGAATTGTAACCAGAGGAAAGGGGCGAGAGATTAATAGACGACATTGGGTGGAAGTTGGAAACCCTAACCCTAACCGGAACGCGAAGAAGAAGTTGGTGTTCTGTTGAGGAGGAACGTGTTTGAAGAAAAGGTACTTCGTGTCGTTTCAGTGTAATAAAAGTGTTATTTTGTGATTGTGACGAAGCTCTGTTAAGTACTTATCAACTATTCAGTGCGAAGCGAAGCACGTCGGTTACGGGGTTTTGCCATCTATAAAGGCGCCAAAAAATCAAAACAATAATGGGACTTTCATTTGACTATTGTTTCCGCTATCTATAAATAAATAAAAACCTTTTCATATACCTTTTCATGCCTTTTCTAACAAGAAATTGATCACTACCTAAATGCATAGTGGTATATTGTATAATGAAATTATCACCAACCATGATGTTTCTTAATATTTATAGCGGGATCAAGACTATGAAGCTGCTGATTTGGGAAAAAAATGTATGATAAAAGTACAACTTAGTCCAAAATCCTCACATATCATGGAAGAACTTGTAGGTCTTGATATCTTCCACTATGAATCTGACTGCACCAATGCAACCCAAGATAGCAACTAATGAAAACCAGGTAGCTATTAAAATATTTAATGGTCGCAGGAAAGGGCCGAGTTTGGAGTTATTGGGCGTTTTTCCAGCCTTAAGGTATGCTAAAGCAGGGAACACAAAGTCCAAAGGAGTAAACCCAATTGCCCCACAGATGGACACAAAATCTCCAAAGAAGGGCATTGCGGTAGCAATAAGAGTAACAAGAACCATGTATATGGAAGTAAAAATAAGTCGTGTCAGCCGATTTCTGAAGGGAAAATAGCTAGTACGTTTGTTAGACTTGAATCCCGTTCCTTCCTCAAAATAGGCATATGTTGGCCTGCAGTATATCTGACAAATGATG